CAGTCTTGGGTTAGAACAAGGCTCATTCCTCCCCCTCTAGGAGTTGTGTCTTACCCAAGACACACAGAAGGCTGGAGACTGGGCTGTGCTTGCTACCTTCAAATGAATCTGCCTGCAACTGTGTTTGTTTGGCCAACGGTACTTAAAAAAAAAATCACCAAACTCAATCAGAATGTCTTTGGGAGGCTTGCAGGTCCTTTCTACATTACTGTCACTGTCACTTAGGTGACCATGGCTCTTTCTACTCTAATTTGCCCTGCTGTGAGAAGAATCTGAGACCAGCGATCTGTTGAAAGGGAGCAGGGGAGATGGGATCCAAACCCGAGCTCTAGGAACCCTTTGTGAAAGAGGCCCAAATGCCTGGTGCCTCCCCAGCACCCTTCAGGCTTGACCTCCTCCCTCTGACTGGGGACAGGCTCTCTTGTCCTTTAAGGTTCCCAAACCCTCAGACTCTCAGAGGAAGGAAAGCCAATCAGAGCCACTAGGAAACAAGGTTTTATTTACTTATTTTTCCATTGTCAGAGGATAGATCACAAGACAGAGATCAGCAGTCCTGGTACACAGTGTGGCTTGGTGAGTTTCCAAGGGAATACAATGGACAGGTGGGGCAGGGTTTGGTCTGAGTTTCCACTCTGATGACCTTTGACTTCTAGCCTTGGCTGTGCACCCAAGGCTGTCCATACCCTGTTGGTCTCTGACCTGCAACCCTGCCGCTCATGCACCCTCCCATCCCTTTCCACTCTGACCCCTGACAGGAGGAGGAAAGAAACTGCGGTGGCTGACAGATCCACCCCGTTCTCTCTGCTGCCCATCCCCTCAGCCATCCCTGCCAGACACCCTCTTCAGAGAAGGAAGGAATCCTCGGGTCAGATGAACTGGGCTAGAAATGAAAGTCCCAGAAGCTGAGAAGGTGGGCGAAGGTAGGAGGATTCCGGAATCTGTAGGGTTATTGCTCAAAAGGTATTTGAGGGGCTCATTCCCCAGAGGCAAGAAGCCCTGCCCTGGAATTCCCCCCATGTTTCCTTCTGCAACAGGTAGGACAGACTGGAGCTTTGCAGGGGTCACCCTAAAAGGATAAGGCCCCCAGGAGGCCTGGAAAAAGGTCACCCTCGGCCTCTCCAGCAGCTGACAGACCTTTGAAACGGATGTAACCGGTAGCAAGCTTCCTCTGAGAGGAAAGAAAGAGGATATACACTTTTCAGTCCCAAGACAGCTGGGGACTCCTGCCCTGGGCACAATTCTCCCTCAAATCTAAATCCAGAGATGGAGTAGGGCTTCTCAGGGGCAGAGCAGACTGCAGAGCGCAAGAGGAGATAGAGGCCACAGGAGAGCACAAGGCAGGGATGTCAACATGGCCCAGCCCCTCCCGGGAAAGGGAACACACACACAGTTCACAGGAACAATGAAATTCACGAATGAGTAGCCACAAGACCACAGCCAGCAGACACACACACACACATAGACACAGCCCAAAGGGGCCAGACCCCTGGCTGCGGTGAGAAAGGAAGGGCTGTGAGTGTTGGGTCTTTAAGTACAGGACTGGAGTTAGTGGGGACAGGGAGAGGCGCCGGGAACACGTGTTCTTGGCTTCTCCTAGGGAAGGATCTGGTCTGAAGCAGCCGGTTTTCTCAAGCCTTGGCACCAGCCGCTAAAGGATCAGGTGCTGGCCTTGGCTTCTGGAGGCTGCAGAAGCAGAGAATTCACATTAAAACCCCAGATCCTTTCTGGGACCCATACCCGGTCATCTCTCCACCTTCCACATAGACCCTTTGCCTGTTAACCCCCCAGATGACGTGCCCTTGAAGCCCCGAGGTCTGGTGAAGAACACACAAGCCTGGGAGGCAAGGAAGGAAGATGGAGGATGGATAGGCTTCCTGGGCTGGAGTTGTTGACAGACCCCTGTTTAAGTGGTTACATGTCTTTAAGACATCCATTCTAAAGATGGGTACAGCGAGTCCCGCTCTGCTGCCCGGGGCTGATATGTGGCGGTGCAGACACTGCAAGGAATTAAAATGCTACACAGGTTCACAGTAGTAAAAGTCTGGTGTCCATGACATAAGACAATTTTTTGTTTTTTTTCTTTTTTTTTTTTTTGGTTGTTGTTTGTTTGTTTATTGAGACAGGGTCCATGTAGCCCAGACTGACTTCAAACTCACTGTTAGGCAGGGTTGACCTTGAACTTCTGACCTTTCTATCTCTTTCTCCTATAGGCTGGGTTTACAGGTATACCCCGCTATACCTGGCTTGAGAAAGCCTTTAATTTGCAACTTTAGCTAAAGTTATGCACTTGTCTGTTAAGCCTTATTGTGTGGAGTCTGGGGCAGAAGTAAGGGGACAAAACTGGCTTTCTTGCCTTTGTATATCCCAGGGTCTGCTCTCCAGACCACAGCTTAGTGGCTGCTGTGGGCTACCCTAACCTATAGCCACAGAGACCTAGACTCCGGGCCCAGCTTGTCACATACTGTCTGTGCTGGCTGATTTTGTGTCTACTTGACGCAAGCTACAGTCGTCTGAGAGTAGGGAACCTCAATTGAGAAAATGCCTCCAAAAACAGTGGGCTGTAGGAGAGACCGAAAGGCATTTTCTTAATTGAGTGATGGGGAGGGCCCAGCCCATTGTGGTTGGGGACACACGTGGGCTGGGGGTCCTGGTCTCTATAAGAAAGCAGACTCAGCAAGCCATGTGGAGCAGGCCAGTAAGCAGCACCCCTCCATGGTCTCTGCTTCAGCTCCTGCCTCCAGGATCCTGCCTTGCTTGAGTTCCCCTGTCCTGACTTCCTTCAATGTGGAAATAACCCTTTCCTCCCCAACTTGCCTTTAGGTCAAGGTGTTTCACTATAGCAACATCAACCATGACTAAGGGCACTATCTGAATGGCTTCTCTGACTGCAGGTTTTTCCATTATAAATGGGGCCGGCCCTGCATGTCCTATTTCTTGGGGGTAGGCTCCAGAGGCTCCTATAAGGCCTGCTGACTGGAAGATTTATCTAACTGCTATGTACTCTCTGGCACACCCTACAGTAAGCAATGGATATGAACACATGGTGAACCCCAAATGTTGAGGACAGTGAAGGTGTGTGTGGGGGGGGGACATGTTATTTTCTCTACTTTTGAGTAGTATTGGAAAGTTTCATAATAAATGTGTGTGCACGCACATGCGTGTGTTTAAGTGGTTTTCAGCTCATTATTAGTGTCACTTTGATATAGAAGTTTCACTAAATGAGCCCCACCCAACTCACCATGGGAGCCTGGCCCCAAGGCTGTTTGGAAGCCTTGGTGCCCTCCCTATGCATGCTGTGTTTGGGTGAGGACCACCTCTGGACATCTCTGGGACTGGGCTGTCCACTGTCCCTCCCCCACCTCTGGGAGACACTCAGAGTAAGTGGACTGGTAAGAGAGCCCCATGGAGAAGTTGGCATTATGCCAATGCCCAGACTCAGCTAAGACAGTGGTAAGACAGCAGACAGCGGGGGACTGGGTACAGACCGATACCTTCCTGCTGGAGGCTGCGCTTCAGTTCTCAGACTTCTGGGGCTCCGCAGCTGGAAGAGAAGGCAGACTGATGAAGAGGAAGGCTGCTCACCCAGAGGGTGTGCCATGCTGAACCCTCGCTGATGTCTGATACTTGGACCTAGGTTGTTCAATATGGTAATGATGGCTGCCTTATGGGGCTTAGCACACGGGGAGAGATGGAGTCTGCTAGGTATGAGCAAGTACTCATAGACAAGGACTATCACCAGTAGTCTGCTCTTGTTGCGACTGTTTGACAGGAAATAGCAAATAGCAGAGAGGAGCTTAGTGTGGGTTTTTGTTTAAGCTGGGGCAGTATGTAAGGGAGTGGTTTCCAGGATGTCAGCAAAGAGAAAAAGTTAGCCAGTTACTACTCTAACTCTCTGAGCTTGCAGGTTTCCACCCTAACTTTTGATTCTCCAGTTTTATTAGAACTATAGAGATTCACTTAGAACTGCCTTTAGTGGTAGCAACAGAGCCATTGACTGGGGAACAGACCTCTCTCCAGGCTGCGGCCTCTAGGCGCTAACAGTTGCAGTTCACAGCACAGCCACTGTGAGGAAGGTAAAGCAGTCCCTGGTACGGGTGAAGAGCTAACATCACAGAGGTCCTGGAGAGCCCTTTTCTGTCATTCAGAGGCATGTCTGCTGAACCCCAAAGTGGCTCACGGCACCCAGTCTGGTCCCTCTCCAGACCTCGGGAAGACCCTCTCCTGGCACCCTTTCCCGGCGGTTACCATTTGTGGTGATGAGATTCTCCACCTGCGCCTCTTCATCCCCTGGAGCCCTATGACAAGAGGAGAGATACATTCTGTCCCAGTGTCCAGGGCAAACCACAGAGCGTCCCATTCTCTTCACTGAAGCAGGGCCTCTGGAGCCCGATCCCTCCGAGTCTCTGAAGGATTCACTCTACCATGGGTCATGTAAAGCAATGGAGAAGTCAGGACTGATGGGGACACAGGCAAAGAGAACTTATGGGTACCCTTCAGGGTCTGCTCCTAGGCGGGATTTGGGTGCGCCTCTGGTTTTTGAGGCCCATGGCCACCATGGCTGTTTTAATAAATCGAGTGTAACCCAATGTGGTATAGAAAGGAGGTCAGGTTCCTATGCAGTGCACAGAGCCTCAGGAAGAGATGAGAAACAGGGACAGTGTGTTGGCCCTGCCCCTCAGAGCAGCCATGAGGTCCTCTGCTTCTCCCTTAGCCAGCCTAGCTGTCTCAAAGGCCTCCAGACAAGGTTCAAGCCCGTTCTGACTCAGCGTTCCTATTTACATAGAGACCTAACCTCCATGTCTTGACCTCTCCTTTGTTCCAAAGTCACTTGGAAATCCCCACATCCACACCTTGGCCTCCCACATTCGCTCTCTGAGACAAACGCCGGGTTTGCAGCACAGTCCTTCCCTGTCCCTTCTGCTGTTGCTCCCATTGGCCACAGCCCCTGCACCCTTACCTGGGCTTCTGATTGAAACTGCACTTGCACCTGCGACCTGAAACACAAAGAAACCATCCAAGGTCGTGCTCCCAACAACAGCTCAAGGTCAAGCTCCCAGCTGGGACGGGGAAGATCTACCTTGAATCTGTACAGGCCGAAGGCACAGCTAGACACAGCCAAAGGACATCTGCACTACCACACGAAGCAACTCCAGGTAGGGGGCAGGGGTCAACTGAGGCCAGGAGCTGCGGTTTATATGGCAGTGTGTGTCTGAATACCCACTCCTCAGTAGCAGTGCTATTTGTGGGCAGATGAAATCTTTGGGAGGTGGGGGCCAAGTTAACCAAAGTGGGTTGTTGGGGTGAGGTCTTGCATGTGCTTCTGGTTACACCCTGAGCTTTCTGCTTCTTGGTCAGCCTTAATAAGAATAAGTCAAAGCCTGCTACCATGGACCAAGCTGCCCCACCATTGCCTGCCCACTATGATGGACTTTGTCCTTTCATACGGTGCACAAAAATAATGAGGGTGGGGCACTCAGTGCCACAGCTCATGGAAGCACATGGGGACACATTGCTAGGAGCGCTAGGAGAATGGCATCTGTCTCCTGGGATGGGCGAGCTCCTGCCCTAGGGATGCAGAGAACAGCTTGCTCTTTTTAGCTCCGTCTGTTCTCACCTACAGTTTTCTGAACTCATCTTTCTTGTTTTACTGAGCACTTACTACCTGCCCCGCCCTGTATTGGTCCTGGAGATACCATAGAGGCAGACCTGTCCCATAGACAAAACGGCTGAGCTTCTACACTGCCCCCCATCTGTCTATCAGCCACAGAGGAGATAAACTTACTTAGGATGAGGAGTATCCCAACAGAGAAGAGGACCACAGCGAACACCAATCCCCCAATCCTCAGGGTCTGGTAGTCTGCAAAGGAACCAGGGATGAGAGGTGGAAGAGGGGCAGGGCCAGGAGAACACGCCTGCCCCTCCCCCTCCCAGATGGGGCCACGCCCTAGGGCTGCTGGGCTACTCACCATAATAGAATGGATCCTTTTCTTTCTCCTTCTCAGCTGCTGCAAAAGTAGACAGATATGGTCAGGAGGAAGGCAGTGGTGCTTTCTGTGATGCCCCACCTCTCCCACAGCTCCCCGTCCCCACTAAAGGAACCTTGCGAAGCAGGACCACTGGGCAGAGACACAGGAGATCATGGAAGATGGGTTTCCTGGGCTTAGGGATGACTCGGCCTCAGTGGGGTCCTGAGGTTACAGCATGCCCTTCATGTATTTACTCTAGAGGGCCAGGTCTGTCTATCATCTAGTGACAAATGGGGACACTGAGACCAAGCGACAGGTCTCATGACTTGCACATATGGTCAAGGTGGGTAATTGCAGTCTAGGCTGCAAATCCACAGGAGGATCAAGGTTCCTGGAGAGATTAACAGATGGTCAGCTGGACCTATGTGGGGAGCAGTGGGGACACCTCTATTAGGATCTGTTTTTCTCTGCTGACTGAAGGTGAGGTCCCTGACCAGAGGTGAAGCTGCCTCTCAAATATTCAAAAGGGCCAGAACCTTCTACCAGAAAGGGCTACGGCTGCCAGCTTGGTATAAGTAGGTCCTAAAGGAGTCTTACCACTAGCCAGGACTGCCGGGGCCAGCAGGCTGCAGAGGATCAGCACCGTCTCCATGGTGTCTGGAATAAAGGAGGAAGACATTACTCCAGGGACAGAAGACTTTCCTCCTCAAGCCATCACCCCGACCCAGGCTCATCCCAGCCTTAGCTGTGCTGGGAATATGTGTGACCTGAGGTTACTTCAGATCACGGGGACCACTGTACCTATTGCCGGCTAGGACTCTCAGAGAGCTTTGCCTGCTCCATTCTGTTATGCCAGATGAGGCAGAACACTGAACGGACACTGTCATAGGTCCCTGCTGCAGGTCTGGAACTGATAGAAAATGACCTTCACAGAGGGAGCAGCAGGGCCAAGGTCATATGATGGCCCAGTAACTCAAAGCCTGACACCCCAAAGGCTTTGGAGATGATCCCCCCAGTGTCTTTCTTCCAGGCCATCTCTGCCTCGTTAAGTTTGGGGGCTCCTGGTCCAGCTCTCACAGTCAACAGACCACCAGGAAGTTTTTTTTTTTTTTAAAAAGATTTATTTATATTTTATTTGTGTGCGTGCATGTGTGTCTATGCATGTTTGCTATATGTGTGCAGGTGTCCCTGAAGGCTGGAAGATCCAGGATATCGGATCTCCTGGAGCTGGAGTTACAGGCAATTGGGGTGTCTGGTTTGAGTGCTGGGCCTGTGGAAGAGCAGTGAGCGCTAGAAGCACTGAACCGCACTGAGCCATCTCTCCAGCCCCTAGGAAGGGTTTTCACCAGCCCTGTAGTACAGTCAAGTCTGTAGTACAGTCAAGTGGAGGTTACTCTTTTTTCCCCAAGCTCTACAGCAAACCCTGACACCCATATATGACCTTAAGTTGCACCCCCCCATGCTGTTTCCTCTGTATTCATCAGCTTCCCCTAGACGACCAGGTCATCATCTCCCAAAAGGTGACTTGATTCCATAAAGGGAACGTGGACAAAGGTTCCTGAGCATCAGCCCCCAGTCCCTCCTTCCCCGGAAGACACTCTGTGCTCTACCACTGAATCCTGGGGATGGGATGGGGGGCAGACCTGGATTGGACCCTAGACATATATCAGTGGAGTTACACTCATTACTCTCAGAGTCAGAGAGTTATACAGAGTGAGAGGGGAGAAGAACTCAAATCAGGAGTGCACAAAGCTGCTCAGTCTTTTCCAGGTAGGGTTAGCCTGGCTTCAGCCTGGCTAGTATGGCCCTGGCGCTCATTCTAAGTGGCTCAGCTGCCATTCACCAGTCAGATACCAGGGGGCAGCATAGCTGTACCTAGAACCATGCCTAACCAGATGTAGCTGGCGGAAAAAGAATAATCTCCCGCTGTATGAACACACACACACACACACACACACACACACACACACACACCATGCTCTTCTTAAAACTGTGCTTGACACATATATCCAGTCACGTTGCTTAGTGTGGTTTCATGCGTATGTAAATGCTCAGAGTCTGCTCGGGGACACACGTATGCATGTTGAGCCAAGAGATCAACATGAGACGTCTCCTTTATTTTGTGAGACAGGGTCTCCCTGACCCTGGAGCTGACGGATTTGATTTAGCTTGATTGGGTGGCCAGAAAATCCCAGCAATCCTCCTCCTCACCTTCTCAGTGCTGAGACTCAGTTAGTTTCTACTCCACCCCCCCCCCCTAAATTCAAGGGATCAAACTCAGGTCCTCAAGCTGAGGGGCCAACACTTTAGTGACTAAGCCATCTCCCCAGCCCCTAGTAAAGCTTTCAAAAACATTTTTAGCTTTATAATTTTAATATAATATTTAGTCTCCAGAGACTTGATTTGATCAACATTGTTCTGAAGTTTTATCTATACTATTACATAGAATCATAGTTAATTCATGTTTAACATGTGATATTTCATTGTGAAGGCAAATTACTATGTAGTGATCCATTCTCTTGTTGATGGATGTCTGGTGTCTTTAAAAAGATATTGCTAACTCTAAATGATATAGTTATGGACACTTGGGTGCGTGCTACCCAAAGCACACCTATAATCAAGAGGCTTTAAAAAAAAAAAAAAACCAACAACAACAACAAACCATTTTGAGCACCCACTCTCCAGAGGAACAGGATTTATGTTACAGACCAGCACAAACACACATTCATGGATTCTAGAAAGCACGGCCACCAAACAGCATTACTGTGAATGATGTACACTTCACTGTCTTGTTTCTTTTGCAAGAAATACAATGCAGCCCCTTGACGCTGCAGCCCGGAAATGATGGCCTAGAGTGAGCATGGCTCTGGAGTCTCAGCTGGGGTTGCCAACTGCCACCGCTACACAGGTTCAGCTGTCCCCTGTGGAGGTCATTCCCGTCTTAACAGCCCATCAAATGATGTGGTTTGGCTCTGCTGCTCTCGGTCCTAAGTAGTATCTGACACTATCAGATGGCATCATTTTTACTAAGCTAAAGGCATAAAATGTGGTGTTAATCCTGTCACTTAGCACTGGGTGTTCATTGCCTGCATTTCTTCACAGGTGGTGGGATGTTTCCATCCTTTTTCTTTTCATTTTCAAACCATTTTCTCAATCTTGACACTCAACCTCAGTTATTGAATATTCTAATATCTCCTCTCGGTCCATGACTCTTCTTTTTACTTAATTTATCTTACTTTGTGTGTGCGTGTGCGTGTGCGTGTGTGTGTGTGTGTGTGTGTGTGTAGGTCAGATGACAGCTTGCGGGAAGGGGGTCCTCTCCTACCACATGGGTCATGGGATCAAACTCGGGTAGTCAGGTTTGGAGGTGTGTACCTCCATCTCCTGAGTGTCTCATTGGCTCTGTTTTCATGAGAACTGTCGTGAAAATACCTGGAGGAACTGACATTCTCCTGATTCCAATTGCCTCAAGATTTATAAGCTTTTTTCTTTTTTTTTTTTAATTTTCCAGGACCTTGCCAATATTCTCTATGACACCTTCACATAGGTGCTAGATCCATTCAGGTTACATTAAAAATTATATTGCTATTTTAAATACTAACATGTTAAGTAGTATAGAACAAAACAAGTGGTTTTTATCTATTGGTTTTAAATACAGTAATCTTAAGAGTTTTTATTTCTTTTTTATTTATTTTTTAAAAGATTTATTATGTAAATAATGTTCTGTCTGCCTGTATCCCTGCAGGCCAGAAAAGGGCACCAGATCTCATTAAGGATGGTTGTGAGCCACCATGTGGTAGCTTGGTATTGAACTCAGGACCTCTCAAAGGGNTTTTTTTTTTTTTTTTTTTTTTTTTTTTTTTTTTTTTTTTTTTTGAGACAAGGTTTCTCTGTGTAGCTTTCAAGCCTGTCCTGGAACTAGCTCTTGTAAACTAGGCTGGCCTCAAACTCACAGGGATCCACCTGCCTCTGCCTCCTGAATGCTGGGATTAAAGATATGTGCTACCACTGCCCAGCTAAGATCTTCTATTTCTAATAATTTACCCAGATACCTTTGGGTTTTCATTGTGGACAGACTTTGCAAATGACAGAGTGGTGTTTCCTCCTAATTAGCATACAGGTTATTTCTAGTTCCTGTCTTCATGCACCAAGACTTAAAATGAAATGCAGCCTAGAAACAATGATCTCATATACATATGCACACACACGTTTACACACATGTACACAAATTTGGTCTTCTTACGTCTTACTGATCTCAAATGGAGTTCTAATGGCTTGAAAATTCTCCTTTAACACTGGGTCTCCAAGATGTTTGCTTTATATTAATTATGAATAAGTAAGTGTTTTATATATATAAGATTTCCCCTTTTAATCAACCAAGCAATTTTTTTTGTTTTGTTTTGTTGCTTTTTGTTTCTCTGTGTGGCCCTGGCTGTTCTGGAACTGGCTCTGTAGACCAGACTGACCTCAGACACCTGCCTACCTCTGCCTCCTGAATGCTGGGACTGAAGGCGTGCACCACCACCACCCAGATCAAACAAATAGTTTTGTATATGAATTACTAATGTTAAATCTGGGATAGAACCAATGTAATATTTAAAGACACGGACAGACTTGGCATTATTCTCCTTAGGATTTTTGCACTTCTGTGCATGTGCGTGGGATTGGATAGTAATTTAATTTTACTATATTGACCTTGCATGGTTTTGGTTATGTGCTGTGATTTCTAGAAGCTAAAGGTTTGAGAATGCAATCCTGACTCACGTCAATGCTATTTGGAAGTTAACTCTTTTGGGAGAAGCTATGGTTTGAACTCGAAATGCCCAATCCCCATGGGTTCATGTGTTAGAATACTTGATTTCTAGCCTGTGACATTCTTTTGTAAAGCTGTGGAACTTTTAGGAGGTGGAGTTTCTCTAGAGCAGTGGTCCTCAACCAATGCTCTAGAGGAAGTGGGTCACTGGGGGTGGGACTTGATATTAGCAGCCCCACCTCACTTCCTGTCTTCTCTCTGCAGCCCGAGTGCCAACGCTGCCGCTGCCACACTCTTCCTGCCATGACAGACTACCCCATTACACTGTGAACCAACGTAGTTCTTCCTTCTTTAAACTGCTTCTCATCAGTTATTAAAAGTTATATTCTGTTTGTGCTTAGACTATTGTGAGTTTCTTTGGTGAGAAGTTACATATGCTGAATAAGCGTAATCCTTTCCATTTTATGTTAATGAATTTGACAGTTTGATTTACCCAAAATGAAACCAGAAATCTTAAAATATGCCATAATCAGGAAGGACTTAAGAAATTCACCCCTATGCTTCCACCATAATCTACTAGGAAGTTTTAAATTGTTTTATCATCCATTAGCTGGGCCGTTTAGGGACAAGAAAGTGGTTTTCTTTCTTTCTCAAAAGATTTATTTATTTATTTATTATGTATATAATATTCTGTCTGCATGTATGCCTGAAGGCCAGAAGAAGGCACCAGATCACATTATAGATGGTTGTGAGCCAACATGTTGCTGGGACTTGAACTCAAAACCTCTGGAAGAACAGCCAGTGCTCTTAACCTCTGAGCCACCTCACCAGCCCCCCATATAGTGATTTCTTGATGTATATTCCATTTTTTTATAATAGTTGCTAGTTTAAAAAATCCTATGAAATAGATATCAGGATTTGTAAGATTTGATCAGACTCAGCGACAGGAATAGTGGCCTTCCAGAACCTTGTGTTGGGTCTACTAAGGACTTGGGTACCCCTGTAGAGAGCCCCAGGTGACAAAGAATTAAGGGTCTTGGTCTCAAAGCCGACTAGGATTTGCCCTTCCATGAACTACCAAGTAAGCAAGCTCGGAAGCAGGTGGCCTGGCCTCCCATGACCTCTACCTGGATGGGGAGCTTGGCTGCAGCCTCTTCAAGTGGCCTGAGCCAGACCTGCCCAGCTAAGCTGCTCTCTGATTACTGACCCTCAGAAAATACGCAACATAACAAAGGTCAGTTATTTAAGGCTGAGGTCTGGTGAGTAATTAGATATGAAACAGATACTATAACCCAGTCACCAGGAGAACCGTCCACTATTCTGTTAGCTCTGAGCCTCTTTTCAAACTGTTTTCCTTCCGGTGAAGACCAATTTTTTCTTTTAGAATATCCTTTAATAAAGACATATTCATTGTAGACCCTCTTTCTGTGTGTCTGTAGATCCTCTTTCTGCCTCCTTCTCTGTATTTAGTGTTCGGAGTTCCACTGAAGTCTAAATGTGGGTTTATTTCTATGAATTCTGTTGTTTCTTTTGTCTGTTAGTTCATCCTTCTCCTAACCAACTCTCAGGCTTCATCTCCTCACGCAATTCCTCTTTTGCATTCATCCTCTTTTTTTTTTTCAAAATGGTTTTTCAGTACGATTTTAAATATTTATTTATCTTATGTACATGGTGCTTCATCTGCAGATACACCTGCATGCCAGAAGAGGGCATCAAATCCCATTATAAATGGCTATGAGTCATTGTGTGGTTGCTGGGAATTGAACTCATGATCTCTGGAAGAGCTGTCAGTGCTCCTACCTGCTGAGCCCTCTCTCCAGCCCCCTATTTCTCCCTTCTAAGACTGTGGCTTGGGAATGTGTTGGGGCCTTTACTCTGTTCTGCAAATCATCAAGCTGCTCATTCATATTTTCCACTCCCTGGCTTTCCTGCACTACATGCCGGGTAATTGTTTCTGAATTATTTCTTTTCTCCCTTTAGCTGTGTTTAATCTGCTGTTTCATTCCCCACTTAATTCCCTATTTCAATGATTGCATTATTTCCATATGTTATGGTTGGTTCTTTTTCTAATATCTTGGTCATTTCATTAGTCTTTGTTGTCTGTTCATTTTTAGGATCTCATTGTTTGCTTTCGACATTGTTTTTAGTTTTTATTCTTTAATCTTCTGTGTCTGCTAATTTCAAAGTCCTGAATTCTTAGGAGCATAAATTGCTTTGCGGTTTCTGTGATTTGGTTTTTCTTGGTTCCTTCCCAATACACACACAAACACACACATACACTCACACCCACATGCACACACACACACACACATACACACGCACATACACACACACATGCACATACACTACTTTGGTTTAGTAGTCTTTGATTGTGAGTTCAAATTTGTTATATTAAATCTGTGGGAAATTCTGAGATTTTGTTTTTCTTTCCCCCCTGAGGACTGAGAGTAGCCAATGCCAACCTAGGAACAGGTTGGCCCCTCTCACGGGTCAGCCTAATGAAGAAGTCATGGGTGTGGTTCCTAACCTTGCAGGTTCCGTGTTTACTAGTCTCTAAAAGGCAGCAGTGCCTACTGGCATGGCATCACTCTCAGCAGCTCTGTTTCAATTTGGTTCACACTTTACATAATTGTGCTACTTTGATTTCATAGGATTTTAGTCGGAAGGTTTATTTTGGTTTTCGAGTTTAAGTGGTGTTTGGTAATGTAGAGAAGAGTGACTGACTGTTAAGGGCACCTTTCTTCCTTCTTGTTGGGCAAGCCCCGTGACAGCAAAGCTGGGACCACTGTTTCACGGTAGAAAAATCATCGTTCAGCCACTCAAAGTGACTTAAATATACTGGTCAAAGAGGGAAATAAGCACTCAGGAGGCAGAGGCAGGCAGGTCTCTGCGAGTTTGAGGCCAGCCTATTCTAAAGCGAGTTCCAGGACAGCTAAGGCTGCACAGAGAAACCTTGTATTGAAACAAACAAACAAACAAACAAAAAAAGAGGGAAATAAGTTGTATGTACCTGCTATGTGTGAAATCTTCCTTCCTTTCTCCTCCTCCCTCCCACCTTCCTTCCTTCCCCTCTTTCAAATTTATTGCTACTTCCAGATCAAGTTCCATCTCAAATTACACAGTCAAAATATATCTGTGCCTTGTTCAGAGAAGCCCAGACTGAAAGACTGGAAGGAGGGGGAACTGACATTAAAATCCCTCAATGGGGCTCGGGCATCTACTCCTAGCACTCAGCAGACTGAGGTAAGAAGGTTCCATGAGTTCAAGGCCAGCCCAGGCTACTTAGAGAGACCTTCTTTCATAAGTAAAACAAAATTCAATCAGCCCTTAGGGGCCTTCATAGAGCAAAGACCCTGCTATTCCTAAGGACAGTCTGACAGAGGACCTGGAGGTGCTCACAGAGGAGCTGACATTTCAGTCTGGCCTTGAGAGCAGGATGGGATTTTGATAGACAAGCAGGGGTGGGGGGAGAGGGAGGTGAGCCAAGGCAGTAAGAGGGAGCAATGGAAAGAAGGGACGGCAAACAGAATTCAAGTTCGATTTAAGCTGAATCTCACAGTACTTCACTCAACAGTGGCTGCCGGCAGCGTCTTCCTAGAAGGCATCAAAATGAGGCCGGGTCCACTGGTAATGTCTACATAGCACAGGAGGAGACTGCGACAGCAACCCAAGTATTTCCATTTCGAGTGGCAGACACCTTCCAAAACAGTGAATAATCCAGTCTGGCTGAAGCACGACGGGTGGGCGGTGAGAACCCCGATAAGATGGCTGGAGTCGGAGTATGGAGAACGGAGAATGCCGAGCTCCAGAGTGATGACCTGCCTTTGTATTCTAAAGCAGACATCTGCGATCAAGCTGCAGAGCGCTGACAGAAACACGGTCATAAATCAGAAGTGACCGAATCTCAATCCTCCGAGCTGCTGCTGGGGCCTGGGCTATGCCAACAGTCCCCCTCAGCATGAGTCTCCTCCAAGGTTGCCTCTTGGCACCCAGACCGCATTGAAAGATCACAGCCATGGTACAGCTGGCGCTGGCTGGGTGTCCAGTGGCCAAACCACATACACAGATGCCTTTGTTCCTCCACCAACCAAGGAATTCTATCCTGGCCTCTTCTGCCCCCATGGTTAGGCTCCTGGCTCCTCCTGCCCTTTCAAACTCTGCATTCCTTTCTTCCTCCTTACAGGATGGAAACTACGCACGCACGCACACACACTGGGGCTCAGCTGAGGTGGGAGGACCAAGATGGGGAAGCATAATCATTGCACTTCCAGTCCCAGAGTTCGTGGAACAGATGGGAGGAGGGAGGACTAAGCTAGGCAGACGTGGATAAAACTGGGAGGGAGGCTCAAGAACATGCCAGGCCTCTCAACATGCGTACTGGTAAGGTCTTGCTTTTGTGGCCCTGCACCCCTGGCTGGCTGGGACAGGGCACCTGAGCTGTTATCACTGCTGGAGTTCAGGACTCTGTCCCATCTTAGCATCCTGATCAACACTGCTCTAGACCATTCTGTCAGATCTCCGCGGCTTCCTTTCTAGCCCAGTATGAGGAAGAACTCCACCTCTGTTTCTTCTCCTTCCCATGATCCATTCTATCCGTGGCCCGGCAGGCACACAGCCACGCTGCAGCTGATAGCAGCCCTTCCATGTTAATCTCTTCTCCGGCCTTCCTGCTGTTTGCGCAGTCACCCGCCGCACGTGCGTGCGGAGAACGCAATCAGAAGAGTTCCTCCAGCGATTATCTTTCCACACTGAGTCACATAATTTCACTTAATTGCTGGGTAAAAGCTGCTCAGGAAGAGACGCCACCAGTTGATGATACGGAAACACGCTGTATTACTTCTGATTCCACGCAGCAATGAGATAGGCCAGAATGCCCGCGACTATTGTGATATAATTTGACAACCATTTCTCTTTACAAGGTAGGAGTTCCAAATGGGGTGAAATTGCCTCGCTCTACCTGCAGACACTTGTCCCTTCCCTTTCTGCAGCCTCAGCCCCTAGATGATGCATCCTGAGATCATCACAGCCTGGATATCCCAGTGAGATGTCAGTGGGGAATATCCAGGAGGTAGCCTCCAAAGGGCCACCTGAGCCCCATGGCTTAAGTTTACAGGTTGCCTAGGCTGTTATAAGAGACCATGGGACATGATTTAGCTTAGTGTATCTCCACATCTTTCAACGATGTCATGAGTAAAGGCTGTGCCCGGTATAGCACATAGACAAAACGTGAAGGTTCCAGATGGATGTGGGGTCGCTGCAGGCCAGACTGGGATAGAATGAGACAAAAGTATCTGCCTTTAATTTGGGAAGACTGGGATCTGATGAGGGAGACCTGATTTGGCTGCCAGTCATGGGTAGGCCTGGCTCAAGGACCCATGCCTTTGACTCTGCCTGCTGTTT